CAGAGTCTCTCAGTCTGAGCTGTAGTTATCTCTCTCAGTCTGAGCTGTAGTTATCAGAGTCTCTCAGTCTGAGCTGTAGTTATCAGAGTCTCTCAGTCTGAGCTGTAGTTATCAGAGCCTCTCAGTCTGAGCTGTAGTTATCAGAGTCTCTCAGTCTGAGCTGTAGTTATCAGAGTCTCTCAGTCTGAGCTGTAGTTATCAGAGTCTCTCAGTCTGAGCTGTAGTTATCAGAGCCTCTCAGTCTGAGCTGTAGTTATCAGAGTCTCTCAGTCTGAGCTGTAGTTATCAGAGTCTCTCAGTCTGAGCTGTAGTTATCAGAGTCTCTCAGTCTGAGCTGTAGTTATCAGAGTCTCTCAGTCTGAGCTGTAGTTATCAGAGTCTCTCAGTCTGAGCTGTAGTTATCAGAGTCTCTCAGTCTGAGCTGTAGTTATCAGAGTCTCTCAGTCTGAGCTGTAGTTATCAGAGTCTCTCAGTCTGAGCTGTAGTTATCAGAGTCTCTCAGAAACCTCCTCCTGATATCAGGACATCAGAGACACGTTCAGACTGAAAACTGCGTCTCGTTAAAACTAAACTTAGCACCGACACAGGATTGGCTCTAAGAGAAGCTAATGCATTCTTCTGGTTGGTTCACAGACATGTGGACCTGCTTTGTTTCTTTGTGGTTTATGCACTTCTTGTCTCTGGATCAAAGCCTCAGCTGAAGGTAATGTGATGTAATAAACACCAGGGGGCGCCTCCACACAAGGAGTGTATCCTCTCTCTCTCTCTCTCTCTCAGGATGCCCTCCCTGCAGCAGACGCTCCTGTTGTCTCTCTCTCTCCCTCTCTCTCTCTCTCTCTCTCTCTCTCTCAGGATGCCCTCCCTGCAGCAGACGCTCCTGTTCTCTCTCTCGGGGGTCCTGGCCCTCTCATCAGGCCTCCTCTCAGCGGTGGTCTCAGGTCTCCCCCTCTGGGTGGGGGGGTCGGTGCTGTGCCTCACGGGGGCCGAGCTGGTGAACGCCTCGGGGCCCGAGCTGGAGAAGTTCAGGGGGGAGCTGAGCTATGGCCTGCTGGGGGGGAGGAGGGTGAGGCAGTGTGGGCTGGGGGGCCGCGCCTCCTCCTTCAACTGTGAGTACTAATATATATATACTTTATATATACATGTAGAGGAGGCTGGGGGGCCGCGCCTCTAAACTGTGAGTACTAATATATTGATATATGTACTTACACTTTATATTATATGCAGAGTATATGTGAGCATCTCCTCCTGGGAACCGAGGGTCTCATTGTGTGACTCCCTGTTTGTTGTCACCTGTGTGCGGCCCACCTGTGTGCGGCCCACCTGTGTGCGGCCCACCTGTGTGCGGCTCACCTGTGTGCGGCTCACCTGTCTCTCATTAATCATTTAAAGTGTTTCTGACTCTTCAATAATTCATCTCTAACAGATCCTCCTGCTGCCTCCTCACACACAGCTTTATATGCCTAACACGTTGTGACAAGTAGTTCTTGTTATATATAATACAGGATGAAGTACTCTACATAATACATAATACACAGTGAAGTACTTAATATTATATATACATATAGCCGTTTGTTTTCAGGGACAGTATGAAGAGTCTCTGTGACGCCAAGTCTCATTACTGAGAGCAGCCGGCGGAAATAACTGCTGTTACTGCTCCACTGCACACACACACACACACACACACACACACACACACACACACACACACACACACACACACACACACACACACACACACACACACACACACACACACACACACACACACACACACACACACACACACACACACACACACACACACACACACACACAGAGACACACACACACACAGAAATATTTCCTCTGATCTGGAATGCCGTGGAACACACAGTACACACAGTGCTGCAGTACTCCTCATGCTTTGCATTGAGATGTTAGGGGTCTTTTATTTCATGAATTCAAAGTTCCCTCGCTCTCAGTTTTGAGTTTCTCGTGGTTGGTGTGAGGTTTGATATTTGTTCCATTGTTTGTGTTCGATGGAAGATAATGTTGGGTTTTTAATTCATAAGCATTAAGTCTGACGTTCCCTCGTGTTTACTATCGAGTTCCCTGGCGTTAGGGTTTGAGTTTAAGTTAAGATTATGTTCCTTTTCCCTCTTTTCCTGGTATTAAATGTTGTGTTCCCCAGCGTTAAGTTTCAAGTGTCCTTGTGTAAGGTTTTAAGTTCCTGGTGTTAAGTTCCCTAAAGACACATTGGTTCCCTCACGTTAAGGTTCTGTGTGAGATGAACTGGGTTCTGTGTGGATGTCCATGACTCGTCTCTCCTCACAGTGTCTGTCCTCCCAGTCTTCCCAGAGCTGCTGAGCGCCATCCCAGTGGGCCTCCATGTCAGCGTCCTCTTCTTCTGTGGTGTGGTGGTCCTCTTCTCCTCCGTGGCCTCCGGCTTCTTCTTCTTCAACGCCTTCGGACGGCCCTACGAGACGCTGCAAGGCCCTCTGGGACTTTACCTGTGGACCGCCATCAGCTGTGAGACATTAAAATCACCTGATATCACTGCTTAGACACTTCCTGTTCACAGATATCTGCAGGTAGTGATCAGCTGCTCCCTGTGAGGCGCAGGAAGTGATTACTGAGGTAAAGAAGCTGATAATGGCCGCTATTAGAGAAACACAGTCCGGGGGGGGGAAAGGAACTGAGACTCCCAGACAAGAAGCTGCTGTCTGAGGGGATATCAAGCTTAATGTGAGGGAACATAGTGCCAAGTTCAAGGTGATACCTCCACGAGGCCCGGGGCTGCAGGTGGCGATGGATCAATCATAGCAACACTATTTGAAAGAACGTGTGCTTAAAAAGGGTGGGGAACATTTCATTTTTCATTCCATTTTTTTTTCACACCACTGAAACCGTGGGTTGGATGCATTACAGAGTTCAAGTAACAGCCCCCAGTGCCTTTGCATTGTGGAGATATGACCATTTCAAATACCTGAGCTCCTGCAGTTAGGTATTTGAAAAGTACAAGGTCATATTTCAAAGATGCCAGGGGCTACATGCATGTCACTTTGAATTGGTCACCTGTGAGGCCTCTTCTATCACTATACCAAATGTCATGCAAATCAGAAGAACTTTATATTTGACCTGTTTTTCAGAAATGAGTTTGAAAAGGTCAGAAACTCAAAGGTTCTACAATCATCTCCAAAATCGACACACTCAATCCACGGGCTGGAGGCATGACACAGTTCAAGTCTCAGCTTCCTGGCCCATTGCAATGTTGATATGGCCACTTACAAATACCTGAGACAGAGCAGTAATGTATTTGAAGTGGACATGGACATGTATATTTCCTAAGTGTGTTCATGGGGTCAACAGGTGAGCATGGCCCCAAACTGTGTGGGTGTGATCCAAAGGGCCCCAAACTGTGTGGGTGTGATCCAAAGGGCCCCAAACTGTGTGGGTGTGATCCAAAGGGCCCCAAACTGTGTGGTTGTGATCCAAAGGCCTGACGTGTCCCTGTACCAAGTTTGAAGGCCCTGTAAGACCAATACAAATTTGACATTGTCCAAATGTCTCCATTTTCCCACCAATTAATCATCAGGTAGTCTCCATGGCTCAGTCCGAGTATCAGCTCCCTGAGTCGATGCATCGCCGAGATACGGTACCGTACATTTCAAATACCCGAGATCCTGCAGTAATGTATTTGAAGCTTAAAATGTGTAATTTAAGATGATGTGTGATCTTAGAGTCGTAAAGGTGACTTCCTGTGTGCAGGTGTGTGATCTTAGAGTAGTAAAGGTGACTTCCTGTGTGCAGGTGTGAGATGTTAGAGTAGTAAAGGTGACTTCCTGTGTGCAGGTGTGAGATGTTAGAGTAGAAAAGGTGACTTCCTGTGTGCAGGTGTGAGATGTTAGAGTAGTAAAGGTGACTTCCTGTGTGCAGGTGTGAGATGTTAGAGTAGTAAAGGTGACTTCCTGTGTGCAGGTGTGAGATGTTAGAGTAGTAAAGGTGACTTCCTGTGTGCAGGTGTTTGATGTTAGAGTAGTAAAGGTGACTTCCTGTGTGCAGGTGTGAGATGTTAGAGTAGTAAAGGTGACTTCCTGTGTGCAGGTGTGAGATGTTAGAGTAGTAAAGGTGACTTCCTGTGTGCAGGTGTGTGATGTTAGAGTAGTAAAGGTGACTTCCTGTG